AGTCAATTAATTTCCCAATTGACAAAATGATGAAACTATCATTTGCCCCTCAACTATCTTTCATTAGTTGTCTGTTCTAAAAAATACATCTATATACTAAAAATGTGGAACATTTCTGAAATTAAAATTGTTATATAAGACATTCTTTTTATTATTGCCTCACAGCTTGATACTTTCACAGCTATCTATTTTGCCAAAAAACATGCTGTGAAATAAATTGACTATTTACTCTTACAGCTAAAAGAACTGTTGTTTTTTCTAAAACCCAAAGGCCCTGTAGTTTACATACCCAAGAGGGGTGGGCACAATAAGCATTAAGAAGCCAAGATGAACAATCCAATTAATTCACATTTGCTCACACCATTGCCTACAGATTCCTTGCATAACAATATGCTTTTGTACTAACAAACCTGCAATACAATTGGCCAGTATGCTTTGGGATGTTTATATTCTACATGTCAGGGATTCTTGATGACAGTCTGAATATTCTCTTCTTTCTAATTTGACCCTGTCACTAACAACTGTCATAGGTGGACTACAGCCAATTGAAAGTCCCTCTTCAGAATGGGAAACTGTGAAATACTTAACTCTACCTAATGAGGCCTAAGAGACATACCTAATGGGGCTGATTTTAATATAAAAAGCAATTGTCAGGCAGCCATTGTGAAGACGCTTAGGGAGCTCCACAGAAATAGAACAAGTAAGGAACCCCGGGCCATTCTATTCATTTCAAATCTTCTGGAAGCTGAAGCAGGCCTATGTATACACCAAGGCTGTCCCTCTGGCATTTCCCCTACTCCACTCCTACTCTAACTCAAAGGGTAATGTCCTCCCTGCCAGTCTAGGCCTTTCTCTCTGAATTCATGCTGATACCTGCTCCTGCTCAAGAGGATGTCATCACTAAAGAAAGGCCCAGAAGCCAGTCTATTAGGGAGGTTTTGTGGCTAAGCCACAACTGTTAAGGTTCACATTTCTCATTCAACATCTTTCTGCCAACTGGAGCTCAGATCCAGGGTCCAGAGAGTTAATCCCCAGGCTCCCTAGCTGGTCCATTCTTTTTTTCCCTCCTGACTCACATATTATAGTCTTTTGTTACTCAAAATGTGGTTCCCAAATGAGCAGCATCAATGTTGACTGGGAACTTATTAGAAATGGACAATTTTGGGCACCACCTCAGATCTGCTGAATTAGAACTTATATTTTAATGAAATCTCCAGATCAATCATTTGCAGGTAAGGGACAAGCACTGGTCTCAGTTCTAATGAAGGATCCCCACACCCATCTTTCAGCTTTGCTCTACATACCTCTACCATGAATGTCATCTTCTTTCCAGACTCCTGAATTCCATCAGGCCTTCTGAGCCCCTCTATTTCCCTCTGCCCATCTGTCTGGAAACCCCAGGGCTGCCCTTTCTCACACAGGACAGTGACCACCATGATTCATGATGAAGTACCTGGCTCACCTGCCTGTACTTCTGAAGGCAGCCTCCAAAACCAAAAGGGCTCTGAAGCTCCTCTGATCTGTGCTGATTTACAAGTCTTAGGCACTAGTAAGAAAACAGTCAGAAGCTTTTTTACAATTAAGCTCTAGCACCATTTCTGAGGTTCCACCCAGCATCTAAGCACCTAAGATTTAAGGACTCGGCCTATTTCCCTTTGACTTGAAAGATGCCCCAGTCCATTCCAGCCCCTGGAATATTTCTCTCCACAAGATGGGCTATTGAAGAAAATCAGACTGGACAAAACCAGAAGAAAAATACAAAGACCTTTTGCATTTTAAGAAGTTTACTGTTGACTGGGAAATAGTTTTTACACTGTAGGGAAATGCAGAAATAATGCATAAGGAACATTATAAATTACAGCCAACAGGCTTTCATCAAAAGTTCCTGCCTCTACCCTCTTTGAATTTGGCTTCCTACTCTTACTTCTGAGAGTAGATTTCACTCAACATGTTCCTCTTCCTTTCTTAGCGGCTAAAGGCATTCTGACTCCTTCCATGAAGTTTCTTCTTGCCAGAGATAGGCCTGAAGTAGTCAACAAAGTAAGTCAAAAAATGCTTTCCTACATTAGAGCAGGCCATATGGACTTCGAGAGCCTGAGTTTGGTGACACCCATTTACCTGGACTTCTGTCCTCTACACCCTCAGAATGCATCAGCTTTTTCTCTAAACCAGACACAGTTGAAATTTTAACTATCATGGAATATACATACCAGGGCAAAGGCTTCTCTTCAGTCTCCTTAGCTGACCTCTAAAGAGGCCCTCATACTGTCCTATGCTGGCTTGCCCAAGAACTAAACATGCAGCCTTCTCTTTTTAGCTACATTCTCTAAGTAACTTCATCCACTAATGTGGCTTCAACTCCACATATGCTGCTGACGCCCAAATTTACAAATCAAGCTTCAATCTCTCCTTGGTGCTCCAGACTCATTTGTCCAAACATCTTTTGTTTATTTTTTCATTTTCAGTATTTTTATGGCTTTATTGAAGTATAACTGACATACAATAAACTACATATGTTTAATTACTACATATGTTTAAAAACTACATATGTTTAAAAACTACAAATTAATTAGCCTTGACATACATACAATTATGAAACTATCCCATAAAGATAATAAGCATCCGTCGCCTCCAAGTTTCCAGGGGGACCCTTGGTAATCCATCTCTCCTATTCCCATCCTAGACAACCCAATGACCTGCCTTTTGTCACTATAAACCGGTTTGCATTTTCTAGTATTTTATACAAATGGAATCATAGAGTGTGTATTCTTTTCTGCCTAACTTCTCTCACCCATCATAGTTATTTTGAGATTCATCATATTGTTGCATGTATCAATAGTTCATTGATTCGTTTTTAACTGCTGAGTTGTATTTCATTCAAGGATACACCAAAATTGGTTTATATGCTGATGGACATTTAGGTTGCTTCCAGTTTCAATTTATTCCTAAAAAAAGCTGCTATGAATATTCATAGGTAAATCTTTATGTGGAAAAATGCTTTCATTTCTCTAAGGTAAATATCCAGGAATGGAATGGCTGGGTCATATGTTAGTATATGCTTAACTTCTTAAGAAACTGCCAAATTGTTTTCCAAATGACTGTACATTTTATATCCCCATGAGCAGTATGAGAGTTCCAGTTGTTCCATAACCTCATCAACACTGCTTATGGTCAGTCTTTTTAACTTTAACCATTCTAGTGGTTTTATAGTAGTATTTTGCGTAATAGTATCTTCTGCTTTTAATTTGTATTTCCATAGTGACTAATTGTGTTGAGTATGCTATTTGCATATACCATATATCTGATATAGTAAATTATCTGTTCAAATCTTTAATACAGTTTCTAATTGGGTTGTTTGCTTATCTACGACTTACAAGAGTTCCTTATATCCTAGACAAACATTTTGCAAATATTTTCTCCAGTCTGAGGTTTGCCTTTTCATTTTTGTAACAGTGTCTATTAAAGAACAAAAGTTTACAATTTTGATGAAGTCAAATTTAGTGATTTTTTTCTTTGATGTTTCATTTATTTTACATTATATTTAAGAAATATTTGCCAAATCTAAGGTCACTAAAATTTTCTCCTCTATTTTCTTCTAGAATATTTATACTCTTTACACAAACATTCAGATCTGTGATCCACTTCAAGTTAATTTCTGTACATGGTACAAGGTAAGGGTCAAAGTTCACTATTTTTTAAATGGCTACACAATTGAAATAGCACATTTGTTGAAAAGATAACCTTTCCCCATGGAATTACCTTTTAGAAAATCAATTAGTCACATATGTATGGGTCTATTTCTGGATTCTCTATTGCTTCACAGGTCTCTATGTCCATCTTGATAATACCACTCTGTCTTGACTACCAGAGCTTTATAATAAGCCTTGAAATCAGGTAGCATGCATCTTCCAACTTTGTTCTTCTTTATTTTGGCTATTCTAGGTCTTTAGCGATTTTGTTAATTTCTGAAATGAAGCCTGCTAGGATTTTGTTTGGGATTGTGCTTAGTCTCTAGATTAATTTGAGTACAACTGGTCTATCTACTCTCAACCCTTAAGTCAAAGGAAGACACCATCTTTCTTGTCCCTTCTTTGGCTCATCTGCGCTACAATGTAGCCTCTTTACTCCCTCAAATGACCTCTAGGAATACCTTCCTTGGTTGACCAGGCCCTAATGTACTCCTCTTGTCTTCTAAGACCTGTTGAACATGTACTATATGATGCTTTCAAGGAAAGAGGAAGTGACCTAAGTTAATCTATATTCTAGAACTTGGAGCCAACCCTTAGCAGTGCTTCAAGGAATCAAGGGAGGAGACTATTCAGCAAGAATATGTGAAGACTGTGATCATTCACTATAGCATAGAGAAGACAAGTAGTGACTCTATAGTATCTTATTATGCTGATGGACAGTGACTGCAATGGGGTGTGTGTGGGGGTACTTGATAATATGGGTGAATGTTATAATCACAATGTTGCTCATGTGAAACCTTCATAAAACTATTTATTAATTATACCTTAATAAAAAAAAAAAGAGCCTATTTTTGTCTGCCAAGAGAAGTCCAGTCACCAAATTTGATTCTACAAAACTAGGTATGCGTTGCCTACATTTTCCACTGGTGGCAGCAAGAATATGTGAAGACTGTGATCATCTCCATGGCCTTGTCTTTCCAGTTCTCCCAGCATTAAATGTGGGGAAATAATCATATCAAGTTTGAATGTACCCTATAAAAATTATTTTATCTTAAAAATTACCAGAAACCCATGCAAGGCATGTGACAGGGAAGACAGGTCACAGGGGACAGAGCAAGAAGAACAATTCAAATTGTTAGATATCTGCCCACCAGATGCTTCTAAGCCCCAAGCATACCGTGGCTTGCCTCTGAGGCAACCACGGAGCCTTTCGGGTCTGTGACTGCTTCAGTTGATGATGCCTCACTGATGCACCATGGAATGCAAAAGGCCCTGAGAAGTCTACAATTTAAAAAGGAAAGTTTAACTCACCTTCCACTGTTCCTCTGGAAGCAGCTTCACAACCACTAGATCTCCATTCAAGGATCTATTACGAGCAACAACCCCATCAATAAAAATGTCTCGATCACCATCCTAGGTTGGAGAGAAAAATAAAATAGTCAGCTTAGAAAGGCTTGGAACCAACTTCCTTGGTTTGAAAGTTTTAGACTCTACAATCTGACCACTAATCTAACAACACTAGTACATAGCCACACACAGATCTGGGCTCCTAGAGGGAGCTCAGTTTCTTCAGAACTAACAAAAATAGTGATGAGCACCTAAGAGCAGAATGCTAAAAGTCACCAAATAAAAGAAGATGTTCAGGCAGGCCAAACAGACAGACAAAAACACATAAGGCAAAAAACTGAGATCACATGCTTCCATAACTGAAATGAGAAAGGAAGAGGTTATCTGTAGGTTATCCTTTTTTGTTTTAAATAAGATAAAGCATGATGATACCATACCTTTTCTATACTAACTAAATTTTTTTTTTTTAACAATCAAGGAAGGGTAAAAAATAGAAGGTTTTCAAGAAAGCCGAAAAACAAAACATATCCCCCAAGAAAAAGCAGCTGAGGGCAGGAATAGCAACCAGCTCTAGGACTCAGGTTCTCTATAAGGAAACCAGCAAAATCATATTCCCCACCAAGAAGTGGCAGAGAGCAAATGGTGACTGTTTTTATGGAGATCTAAATAGAAGGCAAAGAAAAAGAAAGAGACTGAACATAAGATGAGATTGGTAACTTGGTCTCATGCTCCCTCCACGTCTCCTATTGACCGAGGACCAGGGTGAACTGCCAAGCATGAACGCAACAAGGTATAATAGACACCTTCAATACTCCATCACACGCTTACAAACAGTCCATTTTAAGGGGTGCACTCCAGTGAACTCCCCAATTGCCAGAGAATTTCTATTAAGTCAAATTACTTTGGAAAAGCTTTTAAGCGGAAAAGATAGCTAAAGAAACACACACTTTCAGCAGTAAGTCATGGAGAAACTACATATTTTCAAAATGTTTCATCAACAAACATGCATTCATCCTGCTATCCCTCCAAAGTTTACACTACATGTTTCTTTTCAAAAGATAAAAGAGAAGTAAAATGTTAATTTTTCTTAAAGGAGGTAATAGCAAACAGGCTTGGAAAGCCACCACTCAAAATTTTCTAATAGAGACACTTAAGATATTAACATTCAATAGACTGAAGGTAATTACTGTGACATTTTAGTTAAAATTAAAATTAGAATTCCAAGATTTTGTTGATTTAAACAATGTGTCAGGGTGGAAGGCCCAAGATGGTGGAGTAGGAAGGCAAAACAGAAACCTCCTCCCACACATACAAAGGAAGAAATTACAGCAAATACAACTAAACCTGAAAACTGCAGAACAGACCACCTACACCTGGGGAAGAAGAGCAGACCACACGGGAAAGGGTAAAGTGGCCGAGCTGTGACGGAGCGGGATGCAAGCCCTTCCCCCACCCCAGTCCACAGGTAGGAGGAAGAGAAACAGAGCAGGAAGGGGTCAGGTGACCAGGAACTCTGCACACCTGGCTCTGGAGATCTGCTCCAGGAACATAAGTCCACACCACATTGGGTTCTGGTGATTAGCAGGACTGGACACCAGGGACAGTTGGAACACTATGGGAGGCTGAGACACCAGCCACCTGTGGAGGACAGGCATGCTCTGCCGGTCCCACCTAGACCCAACATAGAGGCAGCAGTTTAAAAGACTTGCCAGCAGTCGGAGGGGTGCCAAAGGAGTGAGGGTTGCGCAGAAATCTCTCTGCAGGAGAAAAAACAGGTGGATAATGCCTCCCAGCACTCCCTCGGCCCAACAGGCCAAACACTCTCAGGAGCCCCAGAGAGTCCATCTGCCCCGCTGGCAGCTCAGCCCCAAGGCATTTCCCTGTGCACCACCCATGTACCAGCCCACTCAGCCCAGCAGTATCAGACTTTGCTGCCTAGTGGGCAGAGGGAGACTCTTCCAGCTTTCACAGTCCTATTTCAGCCCAGCTGGGAAGGCATCTGCAAGAACCAGCCCCAAGAGCTCCTTCCTCCCCATGGATGGCCAAGCTGGGTGCTGCTAGGGGCCTCTAGAAGACTTGCTACTGCAGCAGGCAGCCTCCCACCGCGTCACGTGCTACCACTGCTCGCCTCTGTAGGTGCGTGCCTTCCCCACCACCCATGTCAAACTGCCCCCACGAACTCATGTGCCCTTCCACCATGGACTTGCTGCCTCAGAATTCATGCATCAGAATGCGACCCTCCCAGCACATGGTCACCACCGCTGCTATGCACTTTGCCAAGGCTGTGGGCCTCACTGCTGCTGTTGCAGGACCATGCACCCTCCCACTGCCTGGTTCACTGCCACTGCGAAGTGCTTGCTACCCACCTCACAACTTGCCCTGCAACCAACCCACCCACCCCATTAACCTAACAGCCTAGCCATTGGTGTAGGGCAGGCAGAGGGTGCCCTACCCATAACAATCCCAGCATAAACCAGTGCTCTGATCACATAGGCCTGGTTGAGGCAAACCACAAGCCTTGGCAGACTGAGATAAACCACTGCCAGCAGACAGAGAGAAAAGTGACCCTGCCCATTGCCCACCAACAGCAACTGGGGCTTCATAGCAAAGGAGAAGCTGGCACTGGACAGGAAAGAGTCCTGAGCTTCTGGGTACCACAGAATGCCTTCTTCATAAAGCCATTATACTCTAGATCAGGAAGCATAGCTGATCCACCTAATACAAAGGAAGACACAGAAACCCTGACAAAATGAGAGGTAGAGGAATATGTTGCAAACAAAACTACAGAATAAGACACCAGAAAGAGGTCTAAATGAAACGGAGATTACCAGTCTTCTTGATAAAGATTTCAAAGTAAAAGTCATAATTATGCTCACTCATCCGTAGAAATGTATTAAAGATCTCAGGGAGGACATCAACAAAGAGATACAAGGGCTGAAAAATACAGTTAACTGAAATGAAACATAAAATAGAATGAATGAATAACAGATTGCTGCAAGTAGAGGAGACAATCAATGAGATGCAAATTAGAGAACAGGAACACAATTAAGGTGAAGAGCAGAGAGAAAAAAGGATCTCTAGGAATGAAAGAATGACAAAACAGAGCTGTGTGACCAATCAAAGTGAAACAACATTTGCATAATAGGGGTACCAGGAGGAGAGAGACAAAGGGATAGAAAGTCTCTTCGAGGAAATAATTGTTGAAAACTTCCCCAGTTTAGGGAAGGAAAGAGATACTCAGGTCATGGAAGTGCAGATAGCCTCTAACAAAAGGAACCCCAGGGAAACAACACCAAGACAAATAATAATTAAAGTGGCAAAGATAAAAGATAAGAGGAGAGTATTGAAAGCAGCCAGAGAGAAAAAAAAGATTACTTATAAGGGAAACCCCATCAGGCTATCAGCAGACTTCTCAACAGAAACTTTACAGGCCACAAGGGAGTAGCATGAATTATTTAATGTACTGAAGAAAAAGGACCTTTAACAAAGAATTCTCTACCCAGCAAGATTATCACTTAAATTTGAAGCAGGGATTAAACAATTTCCAGATAAGCAAACACTCAAAGAATTTTTAATAACTAAACCAGCATTACAGGATATGTTAAAGAGACTACTGTAGACAGAAATGTTCTTAAAGCTGAATAGTATTGATTATGACATCTAAAACATAAAGTGTGGAGGGGGAAGAAGAAAAAAAGTACGTTTAGGGTGTATTTGAAAGACAGCAGTCAGCAACTTAATATAGACTGTTACATAGTCAGGAACCTTTGGTAACCACAAATCTGAAGCCTATAATAAATATACAAAAAATTAAAAAAGAGAACTCCAACCACAACACTAAAGAAAACCATCAAATAACAAGAGAAGAGTACAAGAGAGGAAGAAAGAAACAGAGAGGAGCTATAAAAATGAGCAAACAATAAAATGGCAATAAGTACATACCTATCAATAATTACCTTAAATGTAAATGGGTTGAATGCACCAATCAAAAGATACAGAGTGGCAGAATGTATAAAGAAACAAGACCCATCAATATGCTGCCTACAGGAGACTCATTTCAGATACAGAGACATATAAAGACTAAAAGTGAAGGGATGGAAGAAGATATTTCATGCAAACAATAAGAAGAAAAAAGTAGGAGTAGCAGTACTTCTATCAGAAAAAATAGATTTCAAAACAAAGAAAGTAATAAGAGACAAAGAGGACATTACATAATGATAAAGGGGTCAGTCCAACAAGAGGATACAACCATTATAAATATCTACACACCCAACACAGGCACACCTCAGTAGGTGAAACAAATACTAACAGAATTAAAGGGGGAAATAGATTACAACAGATTCATTGCAGGAGACTTTAACACATCACTCCATTAATAGACCAACCAGACAGACAATAAATAAGGAAACAGAGGCACTGAACAATACATTAGATCAGGTCAACCTAACAGGTATCTGCAGAACATTCTAACCAAAAGCAACAGGATACACATTTTTCTCAAATGTACATGGAACATTCTCTAGAATAGATGATATATGAGGCCACAAAAAGTCTCAACAAATGCAAAAAGATTGAAATTGTATCAAGCAACTTCTCAGACCACAAAGATAAGAAACTAGAAATAAATTACAAAAAGGAAACAAAAAAGCCTACAAACATGTGGAGGCTAAACAACATGTTTCTAAATAATCAATGGATCAATGAACAAATTAAAACAGAAATACAGCAACACATGGAGACAAATGAAAACAAAAATACAACAGTCCAATATTTGTGGGACAGTCTAAACTCACAATTAAAGAAAACAGAAAAAGAAGAACAAATGAAACCCAAAGTTAGTAGAAGGAGGGAAATAATATCAGAGCACAAATAAATAATATAGAGAATAAAATAGAAAAAAATTAATGAAACTAAAAGCTGGTTTTTTTGAGAAAATAAATAAAATAGATAAACACCTAGCAGACTTATCAGGAAAAAAAGAGTACATACATTAACAAAATCAGAAACATAAAAGGAACAGTAATAACAGATACCACAGAAATTCAAAGAATTATTAGTGAATACTA